TTCTGCTGGGGTCGCTCTGAGTCGGTTCTGACTTGATGGCACCTGACAACAACAACAACAACACAGTGGTCCTACAGACAGAGCAGAACTGCTCGCTAAGGTTTTCAGGAATGCTTATCTTCACAGACACAGACAGCCTCATCTTTCTCCTGAGGAGCCATTGGTGGGTTTGAACTGCTGACCTCTGCCTTACAGCCTGACATCTAAAGACCTCAAGCCAAACCTAAATGTCAAATGCCATCTTGAGTACCAGACACAATTTTGATATGCCCATGTGCACTCCTAGTGTGGTGCTGTAGGTTAATGTGCCAGACTGCAAAGTAGTTTGAACTGCAAAGTCGGTGGTTCCTTTGAAACCCTATACAGGGTCACTATGGGTCGGAACTGACTCAGTGGCACTTAACAACAACATCATCAATATGAAAACTCTGGGAGAGCAGAAAGAGATATTTTGCACCCAGGAAAGATAAAAGTTCACAGGTGCTAACAAAAAAAGGCCTAAAAATCTCAGCTCAGGCAATTGCTCTTCTTGATGAAGACCTGTAGCTGAAGGGCAGTTATCCATTACTTTCTTTCCTTTTTCCTAGCCAGCTGGACCTGGGAAGACGCCCCTGAATACTGTTTCTGCAACACTGTGTCACAATCAGGATGAGTCTTCCATCTATGGAAACACAATCGTTCCCAAAGATGCTAAGTTTTTAGCATACAGTGATTTTTTTGTGGTGCTGTAAGATAGGCACTGGACTGCAACTCACAAAGTCAGCGGTTCAAACCCACAAGTTGCTCCTCGGAAACCCTAAACAGGGTTGCTATGAAGTAGAATCAACTCAATGGCACTTAACAACAACAACATTCTGTTGGCTTTCTATTTTCTTTGGACTTGAACAAAGACTGTCTGATGAGAGATTTGTCCATTTTCCTACCTTTGTTTCTTTCTTTGTTTCTTACGCTAAATAAAACCTTTGTTCATTCCTATAACTTTGTGGCAATTTTCCTCTGGATACCTTGTTGTGATGAGCAGCTAAACATATAACCCAGCATGCCACCTAGATAGAAAAACTCTTGGAGACTATACAGTGCCCCAAAAAATGAGAAGAAGGCATCACTGAAAACAGGGATTATGGGTACTTTCATTGTCCACCTGCCACATTTCTATAATTATTTGAAAGTATTACAACAAGAATGTTTTAATCTTATAATTTTCCATGGGGAAAAATTACCACAAAGTTAGGAATAAAGGAGTCCTGGCATGGCACTATAGGATAAGCACTGGACTGCTAACTCAAGGTTGACTTCAAATCCACCAGCTGCTCTTCAGAAACCTTATACTGGGTGGATAGAAATTGGAACCGACTCGACTGCACTTAACAACAGAGATAATCACAAGATCAGTGGTTCAAATGCCCAAGTAGCTCCTATAAAGGGTTGCTATGAGTCGGAATTGACTTCCTGGTACTTAGTAACAACAACAAGGGAGAACAAGAGCCAAATTGCAGCTCTATCCCTCCTCACACCAACACCACTACTTGTTCAAGGACAACTTTGCTGCGACACAATGAGAACTTTTCTCCACAAAGAAAAAAGGCAGAACTTTATAAAAGCCTCTTCTGTTCTTATGTTGCTGCATTGTTGTTCCAACTCATAGCAACCCTGTATACGGTGTCAGAGGAGCAGCGGTGAGTTTGAACCATCGACCTTGTGCTTCAAACCAACCTTAAGGTTGAGTGCTTATCCTACCGCTCTATACCAGGACTCCTCTGCTCTTAAAGTATGGAAAAATATCAGCCATGGCTAGCAAGAATAAAAAATCATTGCCCCAAAACTCACCAGAGATCCCAGAAATTACCAAATCGCTTCCTTCTCCTTTTTCTTTGACTTTCTTTGTCCTCTTTTTAGCAGGTCCATCATTCTCCAGTGTTCTCTTTTTGCTTCTGTCAATTTCTGTCTCCTACATCACAGAAGATAATGGTCAGAAAGACTAAAGGTTATAAAATAATGTATCATCTCTATTTGGAACATTTGACGCCTGCAAAGAAACAAACAGTACTTCTGAATTACATCAAGGTTCTAACCATCCGCCCTTCATAGAATCATGTACTCTTGGCTCTGGAAAGATCTAAGGATGAACTGTTTCTACCAGTACCATAGAAAAGGAAGAGATTGGCAGGACTCAACTCCTGGAATTAGTTGGAACCTTTTCTTGACTCAATCTAGCCTTCATCTAGCTCAAATTTTAAAATTCAAATCTGCACATATTTTAAACAAAATACCCTTAAGGAATAAACAAATATCTATTTTAAAAAGACAACATAAGAAATAAAAAATAAAGAGATTTATTTTGTAAGTATTTATTGTAATTTAACTGTTTCATGTTTAAATGACTTATGCTCAACACTAAAGATGACACAAAATTACCCAAAGTGGGGGGAGGGGCTATAAAGGCAAGAAAGAGCCTAGATCCAAAGGGCGCGGAGGAAGGTAAAATCTCCACTGAGTAGTATCCAATCTGTCTGGGTCTAGGAAGGGCTGATGAAAGAATATGCAGATAGGTCTCTTGTGACACAATAGTGAATAATTGTTATAAGGACTGGTTGTGAGGGTTGGAAATGTAAAGGTAGATATTTTGTAGCAAGGAGGGGAGTGATTAACTTTTCAGTCTAGGAGCC